TAATGGCCCGGCACAATGGCTTCATCCAATTGCCTTAGTCATTGGAGATTGAGTCGGGATGTCGGTGTTTCGACATGGAGAAGGGCTTGGGGCGGGCTCACGTATGATATGGATATGAGTATCAAGCTATTGGCGGCCTCCCAGCCCATGCACGAATCATGCATTTGCCAAGACCAAGTCGTGATCAAGGCCAAGCAGGGACCTGCAGGTGCGTCCAGGATCGTCCACGTCTTGTACATAGTACAATGGACTTGCGGTCGGCACTTGACAGTGATATGCAGGGGCTGTACTTGCCCCAGGCCCCAAGGAGGATAACCACTTCGTCTATAAACTCGAGCTGGAGACGCGATTCTAAAAGCAAAACCCCTTTGAGATGAGATAGGGCAGCAAATTACTTGCAGGCTTTCTCTCATCAATTTCAATCTGGGAGTACGCAGTACTTTCCAAGGATCTGGCAGGGCCCTGCCGGATTCCCGAACATGGAAACACCTTGCTTGGCAGAAACGGAACCTCATCCGCTATTTGATAGACATAGCTTCAATACCAACAGCAGAGGACTGAGATTCCTATCCAAATCAAAAACACTAAAAACAATTGAAAAAGTACTAGCTGTCTACGATTCTCAACTATCTCTGCCCCTATTATAGTCATCATGCCTGAAGCTACAAGAAGGCACTCACGTAGATAATTCACAAGCTCTACAGCGCCAAGAAGTCGGCATCTCGCAAACCCTAGCCCATTGCTGACGAGTTGATTTTGACAGAAGAAGGCCCTGGTTGCTGTTTTCAATTTAGCCCGTCGCATGAGAGTAAGCTCGCCTCACCAGGAAGCACCAGCTCCGCCCGCCGGCTTGACATGCCGGACATGGGAATACCCGTCGCATCTCATCCAACTCTCCAGACAAGCGGTGGGTATAATAGTCTACCCAAGTTTCGGGCTTAGTGTCCCTTCATTGGCAATGACGTGTTTAGTCCTTGATTCACGAAATGACCTAGTTCGCGAGTAGAGGAATCTAATTAAAGAGCTTTGTTAGAAGCTTTGCGATTGCCAGTAGAGGCCAAAACAACCCTTGATAGAACTGGTCTGGTGTAAATGGAGTCTGCCTGGAGCACCAGACCCGCCAACCAGACAGTCGCCAGGGCAGAAGTGTCGCGCATCAGCATTCATTTAGTGGAAGAAGCCATCACGGCCAAAAGCAATCAGGGCAAATGGGGCTCTCATGTCATAAGTAGAGAAAGAGACGAAGGGAGATGTCGTCAGGTTCCTGTCTACCCCACGCAAGATCACACAAAGGCGTGATAGCCAAACAGTTCGCATTCCCCCCAATTGTATTTCATATCGCTCAAGATCGTATTTCCATCATATCATGGGTGTCCAGCTGTTTACAGCTCACCGTGGACCGGGTCATCGGTGTCGGCAACGACGGTCTTGATAGCCTCCGCAGCCTCGGAGGCAACGCTCTGAACCTTCTCGGCGACGTTGGCCTCGGTCTCCTCGGCAGCCTCAGATTCCGTTGCCTCCTCCTTCTTCTCCTCGCCCTTCTCCTCCTCTACCTCGACGATGTCCTCGGGGTTGGGGGTTTCGACGCCGGCGATACCAACGAGCTCGGTCTTGAAGACTGGAGGGTGTTAGCATTACACGGAGGCGGCGGCAGAGGTTGAGGTTCATACTGAGAGTGGCTCCACCGGGAATTGGGCCAATGCCACGCGAGCCGTATCCGAACTCGGGGGGGATGGTGAGAGTACTAAGCAAAACAGATTAGCAGAGGCTCGAGAAGCCGCATCCTGTGTACTCACCGCTTCTCTCCAATGCACATGTCTAGGAGACCCTCGTCCCAGCTATACAACCCAATTAGCAAATTTAGCCCTTAAGAAGCAACAAATCCGTTGCCTGGGGGGCTACGAACCCCTTGATGACCTGGCCGCTGCCCAGCTTGAATGCGAGGGGCTGTCCACGGTCGTAGCCTAGATACAGATCAATTAGCGACCATTGACGAGGCCACGGTCGGAAATGAACATTCCCGCGACATATCAAGACAGATCAAAACATACTAGCATCAAACTTCTCTCCGTTGCTCTCGAGAGAGCCGTGGTAGTGCATCTTGACCTGGTCGCCCTTCTGGGTCTTGCGCTCGCACTTGACCTTCCTGGTGACATCAATCTTGAGCTCCGCGCTGGCAGCGGCAAGCGACGCCAGAGCAAGGACCAGGACGGTGGACTTCATTGTGGCAAGGAGGGGGAATTGGTATGGCTCTGAAGATGAGGTGTAGGGTGAAGAAGGTGTGGATGAGGTTGACTTTGGATGCGGCAGCGCAAATAGAGTGTGGAAAGCAACGGGCCACGAATCCAGAACGAATTGAAACCCGAACCCACCCCCGCACCACCGCCCCAGTGAGGCTGCTGCACTATTTAGCCTTTTGTTCCTGGAATTGGAAACACCCAATGCAACGGCCTCCCAAATTGGGCGTCGGCCTCCTCCAATACCACCCCACCACCAGCCGTTGGGAAACTGCACTTGCAAACCTTATGCAGCAATTCTGGCAGAGTGAGATTCAATATTGGTGAGCTTGGGCTGCTGTGCATCCAAGCAGGAGCGTCGGCCAGCCCGCCGGCGCTTCTAGAATGACCGACGAAGAGTCAGAGCTAGCCCTATGCCACATGTCAGACACTGCCGGCATATGTCAGAGGGTGCATTTCTGGATGCCCTGCAAAAAGCCTGGACCAGCCAGCCAATCGAGCTTCAATTGGCGCCAGCAGCTGACGTCGACTCACTCGACCTGCATTGCATCGCTCGCACATGATTGTGGGAAGTTTCGGAAGTAGGTGATCGGTGGGATAGACAAATGTGAGTCATGCTGGGAACATGCCAATGGTTCGCGCGGCTCATGCCAGTGAGAGTGAGTAATCGCAATGATTGTTTTTTTCCCACCTTTGTTCTGCGCAACGCATTGGTGGGGGCTCTGAGGATAAGGGTCGGACAGAGTCGCGAGGCGATATGGCAATGCGATTGCAATTGTGTTGTGCTCTCGTGCCTTCCTAGTCCTACCCAGTTGTGGAATTGAATACGAAAACACTCTTGTCTGAAACAATTGTGTGAAGAAAAACTGTCCTTCCATGACATACGTAGACCACAAATGAAGGATCGCGACTGGGCGACGGCCCCTTGCGCGCTTACACTGCCATGCTGCCTCGTTGCGTCAGGAACTGTGGATTGGTCGCTGCGACGTTTACGACATTGGAAGCTGAGATGAATCAATTAACGAGATGCTAACTTTTCTTCACGCAATTTCTCTGCAATAGTGGATGAAACAATTGCGAAAACCCCACGGCCAACGCAAATACAAATTCCAATCCCGTTTCATGATTGGATATAGCCTCGCCTGCCTGGAGGAGGTTGGGAATTCAAGCAATCTGATAAGTCGGCTAGCAAGACGGGCACCACATCCCTACCCGAACCCACCGCTACGAGTATAGCTTCAAGGTGTATGATTAGAAAATGACATGGTCAGGCGGACGCTGATTGATGGATGGCGATCGTGTTTGCAGGCCCGGTTCGTGCTCCTGGTGCTCACTTTGCTGCACCTGCAGCCGTGGCTTGCAGGAGCAGCAGCGAGTTCCATAGGTATGTAGGTTGTGGTCGACGACGTCGAGCCAAGACACCACCCATTCGGGGTCTATAATTAGCAGAATGTTTGTTTTTGGGGTGGGGGGACAAGCACATTTGGGGAGGTTTGGGGGCTCTCGTATTCCTATTTGGATGATTTACTCGGCACTTCACCCCAATTGCGGGAGCCCGAGGACGTCTTCCTGCTGAGGCAAGGTACTTCCTCCAGCCAGGAGAGGTACATGGAGACTGGGGACGGGGCAAGGACATCCAGGGCCCTGCTCGTCCCCGATACCTATCTCAGATACCGCGCATTAGCTGCCCGATTGCGAGTCCAGGTGTGTGGACCCGGCCGTCACATCACAGTCGTGACCTCGCCCAGACGACTGCAATTCACGATCCGATGCCCTTGCCCTGAGCAAACCCGGTGAATCGGCCGGGCTTGGCTGGGAGCAACCAACAGCAGAAACCATCCCAAGCCCCACCGGCAGCCTTTCTCTTTGTTTGCTCTGATCTAGCGGAGACTGATGCCTGCAAATGTAGCACCTCACCTTAGGCAACAACACGGCTGGTTCCACCTAGCCCAAGTCATCACCAGGCCAAGATTCCAATACCTCCTCGAACCAACCTCGACGCCCCTCGGAGGCGGCCGTTGGTTTGACTCGGGGGAACTCATGGAGTAGAGGTAAGCTGGGCAAAGCCGGGCAGTGTAGAATTCCTGGTCTGTATGTGTGCTCGGTCACAGCCCGCCGCCTCACTGGCTGAAGAGTTGCCTCGTTGCCCCATGGTAACAGCCCCAACCAGGACCGGACAAATCTGTGTGAAGGATGCTCTCCGTAGCTGGGTATGAGGCGATGATGGCCCATTTCCCACCCGAGGATCAATCCCCCAACAGCCCCTCCATTGCTACTACCGGCAGTGCAAGGCTCAACGGTACCGCCTCGACGGTAAACCCCATGACGCTGTTCCCATTGGCTCCTGTTGCACCACCATCCTCTGTCTTGCGTTGACTCATCCGTCTAGCCATGGATGAGGGTCGTCCAGGGATGGGGGCATTAGCCAGATGCAGCCGCCTTGGTGCCTGCTCAGGCGACATGTTCTCGGCACATCTCGCGACTGCCATGCTCCGTCCTTCACATTTGTATCGACACTAGGGGTGTGTGTGGGGGGTGTTGAAGGTTCTCTTGTAGATTATACTCCCTCGATCAGTGATATAAAGCTTCGACTCTCCTCCCCTCAAAAGTTAGGTTTCCAGAACATCAAGCCAGACTTCAACTGCAATAACTACCATTGAAACGCAAACAAACACTCTCAAGCTTCCAAGTCATCCTCAAGCACCTACTCCTGCTTCAAGCTACCACACTACTTCAAGCTACTCTACCACAAAAACTCTCACAATGTCTTCTTCCTACAATCCTAGCATCAGCTACGGCTCATCAAGCGGAGGATCCCCTCCAAACAACTACACCGGCCGTACACCATATGGAAATGTCACTGTCACGCAAGGCAACTCTTCAACTGTCGTCAATTACGGCGGATACACGGCCAGCAACTCCAGCGACCCCCGAGCAGGATACTCTGGCGGCTATACAAGATCATAGTGCCAGCCTTGTGGGGCAGTTTCCTTCCTGTTATAGAATCTCCCCTCAAGGGAATCGTTTATTGAGCATTGGGCGTTTGGACATACAGGCGATGGATCTTCAATTCCCCCACGGGCTCACTGCTCTGGGGCTCGCAAGCATTGGCATGTACACAACGGCGTTGGAAGGATCTTCGGGGCAGGTTTTGTTGCAATTTTAGAGGAGTAGTTCAGTTGATCCATTGATTCGTTATCCCACCTCGCCAAAACCCAATTGGCTCCCTAACATGTGCAACATGTGCCATGATCAGACCTTGCATCTCCATAACCCCTCCCCCACCATACACCACATCAGTCCGCGATCTGTTCCTTGCAGCAACTTTAGTGCATGGCCATGCGCTATACGAGTTGAAGCCACCACTCATGTCTATTTCAGCCCTTTACTCATCCAGGCCCCAAGAACTCGGTTGCAATGAGGTCATTTGATGCTGCAGCGAGAGCAGCAACCCGCAGTTGTCGTCCAAACAGCAGGCTTGGCTTCGCTTATCCACCCACCACCGCTACCGCAAATATTTCCTCAGGTGCATGCCCATCACCACCGCACAGATGAAACGTCCGAAAATATTGCACTGACGGGGGCATTCCTCGCAAGCGCCTGTTGGTGCCTGGATTGCTTACTCCATCAGGCAGAAATATTTTGCAAAATTCCTACTCTTACAGATGACGACGCTGCACGAATGTGCAATGGGCGTCGAGGCTGCGCGACGACACAGTTGCGACCGGGCGGGCGTGGGAGGATGAGGCGACTTGGAGCCCGCCCGAGTGAAGCCCGGGAGGAAGAAAAGGCTGTGAGATTTCGGCGGTCTGGGTTTTGGCGAGGCAAGCGGGTGACAGAAGACATTGCACACGCAAATTACAGGCGTTTTCAACTCACAATTCACCAGCTGAAATCTATTACAATAGTAAATAAAAACTATAAAATAATGCTTAGAGGTCCAAATACTTAATTATTATCCTTAATAAGGGTGTATTATATATTTATTATCTGTTTATTAGGCTCTGAAGGTGAGGGGTTTAGTCAAAGGGGCGATCAAAGTACCGTTTGGTGTGCAATGTCTTCTGTCACCCGCTTGCGAGGCTACCTTACCTTGCTGACTGTTCTACTAGTTTTTGATGCATAATGACGCAAGCCACACTACTGTATCGTCAAACTGCACAAGCCGGAGCAGGTTCTTCGGCGTGTGGATCTATTTCGGAGTTGGATGGAGATTGGTGTGATTTATACACTCTCAATGATTTTCTACCGAGAGCCCTTTTAGAAAATTATAGCAGAAGAATCCATTTCTGGAAAGAAACAAGATCAAATTTCAGCCACCAGAATGAAGAGAAACAAGGGTGAGTTGGCACCATTGTGAAGCGACTGCACGAGATGACCGACATGTTTTAAAACGCATGGACTGCAATGCATGAGAACCGGGACAGCGGGCTGGGCGTCTATCCATGCCCGACTGGTGGAAACTGTCCCCTTTCTCGCTGCACGTCAAATGGCAGCCCGGCTCGTGCTCCATCTCGAGCCTCTGCAGTCTCCATTTGCATTGCTCGCTACGTACGTCCCCCGCAATCTGATTCGTGTGTCTGTGGCAGTGCATGTGGCGGTAAATTGTCGGCGTTTCGTCACCGTCGTTAGGCACCACAATCACCAACCCCCATCGGCCATAGGGTGAGTGGCAGGGGGTTGACTGTCGCTATCTCTTGTTCTATCCAGAAACTCCAACCTTCCATACTCCCACAACCTGACCCTTGCGACAGCAGCGGACCCGACCTTTGCATCCTCTCCTATTTCCCCTACCTGGAGAGTTTTTCGCTCTTTCATCGCATCAACCTCTGCCTCATGCGCACGTAGTCCGCTGCACCTCTCTCTTCCCGCCTACACCCAAGCTTCCTTCTCTTCCCCAGCCCACCATGGTAGGTACAGCTCTGACGGAAACCGTACCCAGGGGCGGTAGTTTGGCAACGCATGGAGACTGACAATTCTACGAATCCAACAGGGTGTCGCACGACGTCCCAAGGACAAGGCCGCGCGCAATGCGGCAGCCGCCGCAAAACCCAAGAAGGCCACCTTCGAGACATCCAAAAAGAAGGAGATCGGTGTCTCTGACCTGACACTGCTTAGCAAGGTTTCCAACGAGGCCATCAACGACAACCTGAAGAAGCGATTCGAAGGGAGGGAGATCTACACCTACATCGGCCATGTGCTCGTCTCCGTCAATCCCTTCCGGGATCTGGGCATCTACACAGACCAAGTCCTCGACAGCTACCGGGGCAAGAACCGACTGGAAGTGCCCCCGCACGTCTTCGCCATCGCCGAGTCTTCATACTACAACATGAAGGCGTATAAAGATAACCAGTGCGTCATCATCTCTGGCGAATCAGGTGCTGGTAAGACCGAGGCGGCCAAGCGAATCATGCAGTACATCGCCAATGTCTCTGGCGGCGAGTCGGGCGACATCCAACAGATCAAGGACATGGTGCTGGCCACTAACCCCCTTCTTGAGTCCTTTGGAAATGCCAAGACCCTTCGAAACAACAACTCGTCTCGTTTCGGCAAATATCTCCAGCTCTACTTCAACAACGTCGGCGAGCCGGTGGGAGCCGACATCACCAACTACCTGCTCGAGAAGACGCGAGTTGTTGGCCAGATTGCCAACGAGCGAAACTTCCACATCTTCTACCAGTTCACCAAGGCAGCTTCGGCGAACCACCAACAGCTCTTTGGCGTGCAGAAGCCCGAGACCTACGTATACACGAGTCGATCGAAATGTTTCGATGTAGACGGTATCGACGATGTCGCAGACTTCCAGGACACCCTCTCCGCCATGAAGGTGATTGGCTTGAGTCAAGCGGAGCAGGACAGTATCTTCCGGATGCTTGCCGTGATTCTCTGGATCGGAAACATCCAGTTCCGAGAGGATGATGGTGGATATGCTGAGGTTGTAGACCGATCCGTTGTCGATTTTGTCGCCTACCTCCTCGAGACGACGGCAGACCAGGTTATCAAGGGTATCACGATCCGTATCCTGACTCCCAGAAATGGTGAGGTCATCGAATCACCTGCAAATCCTGCGCAAGCCACAGCAACCCGTGATGCGTTGGCCATGGCAATTTACTACAACCTTTTCGACTGGATTGTTGCGCGTATCAATAAGTCGCTCCAGGCTAGGCAGGCGACAACCAACAGCATTGGCATCTTGGATATCTACGGGTTCGAGATTTTCGAGAAGAACAGTTTTGAACAGTTGTGCATCAACTATGTCAATGAGAAGCTCCAGCAAATTTTCATCCAACTCACTCTCAAGGCGGAGCAGGAAGAGTATGCGAGGGAGCAGATTCAGTGGACACCTATCAAGTACTTTGACAACAAGATCGTGTGCGACCTTATTGAGCAGGTCCGCCCGCCTGGTATCTTCTCCGCCATGAAGGATGCCACCAAGACTGCCCATGCGGACCCAGCAGCATGCGACCGAACTTTCATGCAGAGCATCAACGGCATGTCAAACCCCCATCTCACCCCCCGACAGGGCAACTTCATCATCAAGCACTACGCTGGTGATGTGTCCTATACCGTGGATGGTATCACCGACAAGAATAAGGATCAGCTCCTAAAGGGCTTGCTCAATCTCTTGCAGCAGAGTGGAAACACCTTCGTGCACACCTTGTTCCCCGCACAAGTTGATCAGGACAACCGAAAGCAGCCTCCCTCCTCAGGTGATCGTATTCGAGCCTCTGCCAATGCTCTGGTCGAATCTTTGATGAAGTGTCAGCCCTCATATATTCGAACTATCAAGCCCAACGAGAACAAGTCTCCGACAGAGTACAACAGCCCCAACGTTCTCCATCAAATCAAGTACCTTGGTCTGCAAGAAAACGTCCGTATCCGTCGAGCTGGTTTCGCTTATCGGCAGTCTTTCGACAAGTTTGTCGACCGATTCTTCCTCCTTTCTCCCGCCACATCCTACGCTGGTGAGTATACCTGGGAGGGCACGCACGAGGCTGCAGTGAAGCAGATCCTGAAGGACACCAGTATTCCCAAGGAGGAGTGGCAGATGGGTGTGACCAAGGCATTCATCAAGTCCCCGGAGACACTTTTCGCTCTGGAGCACATGAGAGATCGATACTGGCACAACATGGCCACTCGAATTCAGCGCATGTGGAGAGCCTATCTCGCCTATCGAGCAGAATCTGCTACAAGGATTCAGCGCTTCTGGCGTAAGAAGCGCACTGGCGCTGAATTCTTGTCGCTCCGTGACCAGGGTCACACTGTTCTCCAAGGGCGCAAGGAGAGAAGGCGGATGAGTTTGCTTGGTTCCAGGAGATTCCTTGGAGACTATCTCGGAGTCAACGCCAGCAACGGCTTCGGAGCCCAGCTCCGTAGTGCCGCAAACCTGAGCGCCAACGAACGAGCTCTCTTTTCCTGTCGCGCAGAGCTTCTTGAAGCCAAGTTCGGTCGATCCAGTAAATGCAGCCCGCGTATCATCATTGTGACGAACAGCAAGTTTTACATTATCGCCCAGGCTCTGGTTAGTGGCCAGCCCAGCATCACGGTCGAGAAGGGCATCAGTCTTGGTATGATCAAGTTTATTGGAGCCTCGACTGCCCAAGATGATTGGTTCTCTCTGGGAATTGGATCGCCTCAGGAGCCCGACCCTCTCATGAACTGTGTCTTCAAGACTGAGATGTTTACGCAGATGCAACGTGTGATGCCCGGAGGCTTCAATCTCAAGATTGCCGAGACGGTTGAATACGCCAAGAAGCCCAACAAGATGCAGCAGGTCAAGGTCTTGAAGGATTCCCAGCAGCGTGCTGACTACTACAAGAGTGGTGCCATCCACACCAAGCCCGGAGATCCACCCAACTCTACATCAAGGCCCACGCCGAAGGGCAAGCCCGTTCCCCCCAAGCCAATCACCAGGGGCAAACTCATTAAGCCCGGCGGTCCTGGTGGCCGACCCTCAAGGTTGACCG